CGGGGAGGAGCGGGGGTCCCGTCCCGGGCCAGGAGCAGGGCGGTCCCGGCCGCGCTCCGCACGTGCTCCCGCTGCCTGCGCCCGGAGCTGAGCCCAGCGCTTGGCCCGCAACTTTTTAGGTACTAAAGATGGGCTTTGAAGACTTGGCGACGAAAGCGGGGTAAAAGGCCGCGTTGGGTTTTGCAAAGAAACAGCCGCCCCCCCCTCCCCAGCTTATGCTCTTTTTGGTTTTGTTTTTTTTTTTTGAAAAATAGGTTGCAAAAGGCTGGCTCTCCAGGCGCGTGAACAGGCACCCGCACGTGCGCCCGCCTCGCAGCTGAAACCCGCAGCGGGTCTGTTTACTTCCAAAACAGCCGGCTTTCCTTCTGCAGGGCCTGGCCGCCCGCACCGCCCGAAACAGCACAAAGCAGAGGAGACCCAACTATGGGAGAAAAGCATTTAAGGACACCATACGTCCTAGGTTATTAATTATAAAACATAATTAAAGTAAAACTACAGAACGTCAACATATTAAATTTAAAAGCTAATATTAAAATAGAGTTAATATTTAATAAGGTAGCCAAGCGTTACAAAGCTCTGTGCCGATAGTGTATATTTAACTGTGTAAAACCAGGAGAGTTTTCGCAAAGAAAAATGTATTGTTTAGCTGATTATCAAAGACTCTGTGATATATTATCCATTTCACAAAAATAATATAGATATCTTTTTAAATATAGTAATAAAAACATACTAGCGCCTTTTAAATACACTATTACTTACCACCCCTTTTCATATTGTACTATCACAGACACTTTGGAATTGGTTTAAAAGCACATCATTCATTATTCAAAGCTCATCTTTGCATATTATTCCAGCTCAAGTCTGCCAGGCTCCCTGTGAAATCGTTCACAAAATTGATAACAGCAGACACACATGCAATAAAAAGATAGCCTTGGGCATCCAGAGCTCCCATTATGCAGATCAAGCTGCAATTTTCTCTAACAAAGCCTGCCCTGATCCAGGACTGGGTGTCACTTTATTTATTTATTTATCCCTCCTCTGTCCCCCCCACCCCTTGCCATTCACAGTCGGGCTCGGGCTCGGAGGGCTGGGCTGGAGGGGGGCAAGGCTGTGAGCGGTGATGCCTTGGGGCGACGCTAGTAGGGGTATTTCTCCCCTCTCTCCCTCTTCCAGGCTGGGAGTCTCCTTACTGAAAGCTGGCATACCAGCTTGCTGGTATCCTGTAAATCCAATTAGCTCCACTCTATAGAAACTCAAACTAATGATCAGTCAGCTTAGACACGCGAGAGCAAGTGGAAAAAATCCAATTAGGCTGCTCTCAGCCTCCCAGAATTACAACCCTCGTGCAGTCCGGGAGGCCGGAGTGGAAGGCGGGAGCTCCCCCCGCAGCCCCGGTGCTGGTCGCCCGCCTTCTCCTCCCCATTGTTAATAGCGGTTGCCCGGGCTCCCGGCTGCAGGAGTCGCCAGTCCTCTCCATTTCATTTCATTTTCTTTTCTTTTTTTAAGCAACCGCTTCCCCGCGGTCCCACTTCTCCAAATTGATTTCTCATCTTTGGACACTTTAGCCAAGTTCCCTGCTCTCTGCCGTGCTCCTTTGCCTGCCTGCGGCCGGGGCTACTTAGGTGGATCTTTGTTGGGGGGGTATTTAATAGTCATATTTATGTCGTCGTAAAAGCATCAAAGCAGCCAGGCTCCTGGGGAATGAGATGAGTCCAAGACGGTGGGGCTATTTTCTCCTTAATCTGATTAGCAGTGAAAGAAATACCCTTCAGATTCCATCTCGGCTGCCTCTTAAAATGTCCAACTGGAAAGATGCGCCTCCTTAATTGATAAGTACTTTCAATGTCAAACAACCGCTCCGCAATTTGCTCGTGTCAGTTTCTATGATAAATCCCTACTTTCCCCGTCCCCCCTTCCTCCCAGACCCGAGCTTCTCCGAGCCAAAGCTAATGGGCCATTAAAATACTAAATACTGCCGCGGAGAAGTGCCTGCGGAAGCTCGGGCAGCTCGGCCGGGAGCTCGGGGCTGGTGTCCGGCTCCGACCTGACTCCGGATTGTACCTGGGATCCAGGGTTGTACCTGCGCCCGGCGGGGAAACTCCGCGCCCGGGGAGCCCCGGCCGGCTCCGCGGCCCTACAGCTAGTTCCCGCGGAAAAGCCCGCGTTTGGTACTAAAAATAACACGCGTTTCACCGATGTCCTTCCCGCAACCGTGTTTTTGGCGGTGTCCCCCCGGCCCCAAGCACACGGAGTTTCCTGCTACCCAGTCTCCGGTTTGAGAATATATCATCCCAAATTCTAGTCTGTGGCTCGGGCTCCTTCCTGTCTTTTGTCCAAGGCTTTGGAAGGGGGTTTATTCCCTGCAGCCACAGAGGCACCTGGGCATTTGTTGGAGGCGTTGCAGCGGCCACCCCCTGGCCTTTCTAACCCCCTGCAGCGACACGAGCCCTGCCCAGCCCCGAGCACCTCGCCTGCCTCTCCCCGCTTCTGCCTCGAAAGTTTCCCTTCCTAGAAACTAACAGCTGTTTGGGTGCAGACAGTCTCCTGAGCAGCCGCTCTAAGACATTTTTTGAGCGATCAATGGATTGACAGGAGGAAAAAAACCCGTTGTCTCTGGGTGTATTTCCTCTCTGCTCACAGCTCACCTTATTCCAGCCCTTCCACTGCAGCTGCTTAGCAAACTGTCTTGGGTTTGAGTCTATCAATACGGGGGTCTCTGTGTAGGGTGAGGGGAGGAAACCCATGCACGGCTCGCAGATCACCCCTGGCAGGCACAAATGCATTCAAGACCCGTTTCCTGAATTTGGGACCCCCAGTCCGTGAGCTGCCACTGCCCAGCTCAGCCGGACCACGGGCGCTTCCCCGGCGCCAGGCGGCCAGCCCCTCGCCCTCGGTGCTGGAAGCAGCTCCGGGCAGGGGTCCCCTTCGCTTCCTTCCCCGCAGCGACTGAAGTTGGGCAAGAGCTTTCCATCAGGTCCTCGCCCTGAAAAGGGAAACGCATGGGCATTTCTCAGACTTGAATACACCGGAACTTGAAAACTACCCCTCAACAAAAAAAGAGAAAAAAGAGAGAGAGATGTATAGCTACAGAGATAGAGGTATTGATATCTGTATCTCCATATACAGAGACATGAAGATGCACGATATAGAGATATAATCATTATGGAAAATGGAGAAGAGGAAAAATGTTCCGTTCTTTTCTTTCAGAAACACTGATCAACCAGGATGTACGCTGAGAGATAAATATTGGAAAAGGGCGGGTTTGGATCCAGTTTGTTTGTTTTTTATCTGAGAAGAACCCAATCCTGCCATTAATTTGCTCCCCGCATTTCTCTGTATTTCTGTGCAACCACCTCTTCCTCTGTATTTCTGTGCAATAAGTCCAATAACTCCACAGGTCTGTTTGCATTTACTGCTGCCACTTAAATTATTCAGTGTGTTGCGGTAATTGAATCCTAAGCTTTAAAAACTAATAAACTCTCTCCTTGTCACTGCTTTCTGAAATCACAGAATCAGCCCTAACAGGTGCTGATCAAATACTATTACATTCTATTAAAAGGAAAATTCTATTCCCTGTTTTCATTTCCCTTTATAAAAGGGAAACTAAGTAAATGCATTTGAACGTTATTTAATTTTTAACGCCTTTAGTCCAATTTGGACGTTAGGGAGCGTCTGCAAACTCACTTAACAGGCGTGTGTGGCAATAAGTTTGTTGACGTAAATTAATCCAAAACGGTATCTCTTTGTATACTGCAGTGGGTTTTCGCCACCCCTCCCTTTTATTTTTATCTCCACAAAAGGCAGCTCAGTACAAACACTGGGCAGACCGATGGAAGAGAAAGAAATCGCCTACTAGAACCGGGGAAAATAGCTTAGTTTGGAACTGGTAAAAACACAGAAATACCGGGGAAAGCCCGAGGCCCCATAGTCATTAACGAAATGAACTGTAAATACATATAAAATGTGGGCATCAGCCAGGACACAAGGGTTCGTGTTTGGCTTCTCCACTGGTTTCTTTCCCCGTTAGATTTAAATTTCAATGAACGCAGTTTGCAAAAACCTCTTTCCAACCGAGGGTCCTGGCGGTTGTGCTTTTCCTCTAACCCGAGCTCAGCAGCGGGGTTGCGATTTGCAGGAAATAAAGCCCAAGCCTGGCATCTCTCTCTTTCCAACGGGTAAACGCAGTTCCAAAAACGGAGCCTTAGAAGAGCATCTGTTTAACGATTCTCCGTAAAGACTCGTACGGGAAAACGGAGGGGAAGATGCTCATTTCCTTCAGCTAAATTACAGCGGGGCGAGACTTCGGGAGACCCGTCTGGATTGTGCCGAGTACACTACGTGGCAACATCATTCCAGCGCTATCTTAATACAGTCCGATTTTAAAAATATGATACAGAAGAAAATGAGAGAGCGGGGACTCTGCGCTTTAAAACCCCGGAACAAATATTTGTCCCTTTTCTATTTTCGAAAAAACAGATCTCGGATCGCAGCGTAAACTGGCTGCCACAATAATTAGAGCCCGTGAGCAGGTAAAACGCACAACACAACTCCTCTCTGTGTCTCCGTAAGGTGTTTACACTCTGCATAGTATTTATAAGCAGAAACAATAGGAAAGAGTTACATTACATCCTAAATTAATCCACCGAGGGGGGAAAGCTTTCTTGTCATTACCATCCTGGAATTCTGTACCACTAGCATGTTAGATAATAAACAAGGGGGTGGGGGGAAACGCCTCGTAATTGCAAAGCTTTGTTAAATTTCAAATCGCTAATTTCTAAAGACAACAATCGCAGATGCTATTGTAATATCCGCCACACATTATCTTAGCTAATAAATTTGACCTATTGTTCGTTTGTTAAAATGATGTCACCTTGGAACAGTCCCTAAGCTCCTATTTCAATGAATTAGGCCTTTATTGAAATCCAGCAGCCAATGGGAGGAGAGAGGCTTGTTTATTGCGTCCAATGGCAGCTGCAGGAGAGAAATTAGAAGCAGAAACTCAAGGTTTGGTTCAAAAAAGATGACACAGAGCCTGTCGGGCTGGACCACTCTTGGCAAAGTTTCAGTCTGACATACACCAGGACCTACATGGATCTACTGTAAAGGAAGGCGAGCGTTTTTATAGGGGAATTCATACACTTTTGAGCCAATATTTCTATTCACCAAGGATGGATCAGCCAGCGAATACACAGACCCAGCATCAACACGAACCCATCAGCTTTGGAATTGATCAGATTTTAAACAGTTCTGATCAGGAAAACTCTTCCCAGCCGGCCCCCAGAGGATCAGACAGCACCAATTACCTGGGAAGCCCCGTGAGCAGAACAAGTGCCCCTTATCCTTCCCTACCAGCCTCCTTCCCTGGCATCGGGGCGCCTTTTGAAGACTCTGGATCTTACAGTGTGAATCTGAGCTTGGCTCCAGCTGGAGTGATCCGAGTGCCAGCTCACAGACCCATCCCTGGGGCTGTGCCACCTCCAATTTCTAGTGCCATACCAGCTATGCCAGCTGTACCCAGCCTTGGCAGCCTCAACTTCCCCTGGATGGAGAGCAGCAGGAGGTTCGTAAAGGACAGATTCACAGGTAAGGACTGGGGCGCGCGCGGCCCCGGCGGCCCCTGCTCCTTCCCCGGGAGGCGTCCCGCTGCGCCGAGGCAGCGCGGAAAGGTCCCGGGGCCTGGCCCGGACGCGGGTGCCCCCG